AATTCAATGTTCATGACTCTATTTGTATTTGACCATTTTTTCGTTGAGTAACTGATATAATTTTTTTTTTTGGTATATAATGATTAAAGCTATCATTTGTTATATTTTTTCAAGTACAATTCAAACAATTTTTTATCATTTTTTTTATAAATAAAATGGATTAAAACTATTCTCTTATATAATTTTTATAATCCTATGACATTCTTATCTTGATTAATTTTTTTAAAATGACGTAGGAACTATGCAAATATTATTCAAACTATGGAGAATGATTTATACTTTGATATGATATGAGTGTGTCATTAATAGAGGAAATCAAAGATAGAGAGTTGCTAATATAATCAATCAATGATTTGTTTGAGAAGTTCTTTTTATAAGCAAGGCAACAAACTTAGATTAAAATCTTTTTAAAACTACTTATAAATTATAATTAAAAGTTGATATTTATTCATAATTTGATCCCACAATAATAATATACATCACTGATTTAAAAGTCCAAGTAAATTTATGATAATTTTTCTGAGTTTATAGAATTTCTCTCTTTTAATATTTTGTTTAGTTTGATACAAGTTATTTATGTTATCAAGTGATTGTAATACTATTATTCTCAACAATTTTTATAATTAATAATTTCTTATGCATATCAAATTTTATTGTAAAATTTTGTGTGTTAATTATTGTTAACATCTACCTAGATGGCTTAATATTACGGCTTGTCGCTATTAAGATATAATTTAAGATTAAGATGATTTATTTATCACACAAAATATATATAGTCTATTTTTCCGTGCATCACACGGGTTACCGCTAGTAAAATATAAATAAATGTTCAAAATATGCTTCTGAACATATCCCTTGGCATGTCTCTAGTCAGCTAAAGGCTTATAGGATTAGACCGTCGAATTTTTGGTTTGTGGGTCCACCTTAAACTTTGTTTCGCTGATTCAAATTAGGATAAATTATAGTAAATCCCTATTAATTATGACCCATTTTTAAGGAGTTTTTTTTTGAAATATTCTAAAACAAAAAATAAATTAGAGAATTGACCTACTTTTTAAATTATTTGAAAAACTAACCTGTTTTTAAAATCACATTTTGAAAATGTAATTTTAAAATTGAAATTATATTTTCAACTTGCAATTTTAAAGTGAAATTCCATGTTAAATATGCAATTTCAATTTTAAAATTGCATTTTCAAAATGCGATTTCAAAAAGTAAGTTAATTTCTTAAATAGTTTGAAAAGTGAGTTAATTCTCTAATTAGGTTGTTTTTTTGGAATATTTATAAAAAAAAAAAAAAAAAAAAAAAAAAAAAAAAAAAAACTCCATTTTTAAGTTATCCCATAATGTTTAAAATTCAACCCTCTTATAGTTTTGTTTTGTAACTCTAAACCTCTGCTGTCATCAAACCGGTAGTCATTTGGCATAAATGTATCACATGTAATTAAAGGTTATGATTAAAATAGCCTTATTATACATGCACACATTGTATATATATACACAACCAGCAACTCTCCATGGCTAGAAATGCCAAGCCATAACCAAAAACTCTCCTGGCTACTACCAACTAGAGAACTCTTATTAGCCAAGCCACTATGATTTGATTAAAAAGTTTCACAGCAAAAGAATTTAGGGTTTTGATGGTGATACGTTGATTAGGTGGGGGGATTTTAGTGGACATATATTGAATTGATATAGAGGTTTTAGTGTTGAGGGGTTTCAATGTGTATTGGGGTGTTTGATCAGTGGGAGGGAGGCTGTGGGGAGGGGGTTTCGGCTTGGTGGGAATCGAAAGGGGAGGTGGTGAATGGTGGCGGGTAAGATGAAGAGTGGTGGGTCATTGTCTTCAACCACCATTGTCGCCATTGCCATCGCCGTAAGCCGTTGTAGCCACCGCCAACCCCTCACCTCTCTGTCTCTCTCTCTCTCTCTCCCTCTTCAATGAGTTCATAACCCAAGTCTTTCGTCCTCTATACCTACAACACAACACCCCTATCTCTATTGCCACCCCCAAACTTAACTCCCTTTGTTGATCATTAGGTCCAGCAAAAATATGGAATTGTTGTGGTGATTCACAGTGGCTGACTTTACTCCCTTTGTCAAATGAATTTGTTGTGTTTGTTAATTGGAATTGTGGAGACACTGGAATTAAGGGTTTGGGATTGAATTGATTTGATTAGGGTTTGGAAGAAATCAGGTAATTGTTGAAGAAGATAATGGTAGTCTGGTAGCAATATAGTTGAAGGGTAAAAAAGTAAATTAATAATTTCTATTAACACTGTTAATGAATTTTGCCATTCATATACTTCAGGGAACAACTCAAAACTAGGTCATAGTTGAGGGGAGTTTAATGTAATTTACCTTTCAAATTTTATTTTTTTAAATACGTGCGTTTAAATTATTCTTAAAAAAATATATTTATTCGATAAATATAATTACATAATTTTAATGTATTTATCTTTTAAAAAATTAATGATGTATTTTAAATTATGTTTGTTATTTATTTTTAAAAAATAATATACATGAATTGGAATCCTAAACATGGAGTTTATGGTAGCCTTCCAAAACTTGATAATCTTGTTTGTTTTTTTTTTTTTTTTTAATCTAGTCTTCAAATACTTGCATATCTTAAGATTAAGTTAAGGAGGTCCAGGACCACAAAATTTACAGTCCAAAAAATTAATAAGAAATATGTCCATATATTTTAAACCTGTGATGGAGATTCAAGAGCTGTTTTTTAGGTCCATGCATAAAAATAAAAAATAAAAAATTAAATTAAATAATGTTGAATAAAATTGAGGTGTTTAATTATAAATTCTTTTTTACTTACTTATATTTTACTTAATTTAAATTATTTTTTTATATTCTACTAAGTCTTAGAAGTGACATAGTTACTAAAATATCTCTAATAATAATAGGGTAATGCGCATTAATGTTAACATTGATAGTGTGAACGGACCATAATGTGAATATTCACCCTGTCAATGTGAACATTCACATTGTCAAATATAAATGTTTATATCACTAATTGTTCAAAAAAATATCTTAAATATGAGAATTAAAATTTAATGAATCAAATATCTAAATAATAAGACTTATTAAAATACAAGAATATGTTATTTATTAATTTGGATTCAAATACTTAGAAAGAAAATTTTCTAATAAATTTTCAAATAAAATTTTGAGTATATATTTATTATTCGGTCCAGGACACAACTCCATCTATATTTATACCGTCAATGTAACATACAAACATGAGTCCAGATCGTCTGCCGTGATTTCCTGCGGTGACTCCTGCGGCGGTCCAAAACAAGTTTTGGACCTTTTTTTTTTTTTTTTTTCCTCTCTTTGCTGTTAAGCCTCTCTTTCACTTCCTCTTCCTCTGATCTGCTCCAATGGTCTCAGGTTTGTTCTGATCTGTGATATGTATACATATACTTGTGCTCAACAAAATCAAGTGGGTTTGATTCATGAAGTATTTTTTTTGAAACATACACTTGATTTGAAAAACTTGATTTGAAAAAAAATAAGTGGGTTTGATTCATGAAGTGTTTTTTTTTTAAACATACACTTGATTTGAAACACTTGATTTGAAAAAAAAATCAAGCGTTTTTCTTGGCAAAGATCAACTGTGTTTTTTTTTGGAACATACAAATCATTCATGAATTTTTTTTTTTTTTTTGGATATATACATGTGCTCAACAACTTGATTCTTCCTCTGTTACAACTTGTTTTCAAATCAAGTGTATGTATACATATGTGTGTGTGTGTGTGAGAGAGAGAGAGAGAGAGAGAGATATGGATAACAGAGGAAGAGCTAGTTGTAGATAATTTTGCAATTTTTGTTAATGGTGCTGAGTTAAATCCATTCTATGGCCATCCATCTTCATCTCTGTGTGTTTGGGTGAGAGATGAAAGAGAAGAAAAAGGAGACATCGTTTTGGACCTTTTTTTTTTTTTCCCCTTCTTTTGCTGTTAAGCCTCTCTTTCACTTCATCTTCCTCTGATCTGCTCCAATGGTCTCAGATCCGTTCCGATCTGCATCGCCTTGAACAGATTGGCAAAGATCCTTTGCCCAAAAAAAAAAGCAAGTGGGTTTGATATGTGATCTGTGTGGTTTGAAAACTTCAAGATCAGATTTATGAAGTTTAGATTCATATGCAATTTCAAACTCATATCAATATTTGAAAACAATTTCATATATATATATATGTATACATGTGTGTGTGTGTGTGTGAGAGAGAGAGAGAGAGAGATGGATAACAGTGGAAGAGCTAGGTGTAGATAATTTTGCAATTTTTGTTAATGGTGCTGAGTTGAATCCATTCTATGGCCATCCAGCTTCGTCTGTGTGTTTGGGTGAGAGATGAAAGGGAAGAAAGAGGCTTAACAGCAAAGAGAGAGAAAAAAAAGTCCAAAACAACGTCGTTTTGGACCGCCGCAGGAGACCGCAAGAAACCACAGCAGACGATCCGGACTCATTCATTGATTGAATGCAAATTTCAAACAAAGAAATAACATTGTATTTGGATAAAGATCTCAATAGAAATTTGACAATAAAAGAGAAATAAAAAAATAAAAAATTTAACTCATATTTTATTAACAATTGTCTCACAATTTTCTCTTCTTTTTTTTCCTTTTTTTTTCTTTTTTTAAATTCATACCTAAATCTATGATTCAAAGAGCTTGATTTGAAAAAGAAAAGGGAACTTAGGTAGATTTTTACCTTTCAAACAATGTCGAGAATAACCCGATCTAGATATGAACAATAAAATTTCAACACCATCAATTTTACTCAATCCGGAGTTATGGTGAGATAGAGATATTCAACTTTAGATGAAGGATGTACAGAAAAGAAAATTCTGCAGAAACATGAAAAAATCATGAAGGAGACAACACTTTGCTTTAATCCTGTATTGACGCTAAGAAGATCTACGAAAATATTCACAGAAAAGAGCACATAATTTAGATAAATAAGTCCACAAAATAAAAAGAGATACCTCTGAGATCCCAAGATTTTAGCACCATGTGAGATTTTAAATATCTTTCCTGGTCACCAACAAGATTCACAAGAATTTCCAAATCAATTTTCTTCAGCTTTCAATAGCTTAATGTCTTACCAAACCTCAACAATAAAAAAATGAAAACTATCAGCTTTTGCATAGTGTATTTATCAAATTGAAACAGAACATGATCACCCCATAAAGAAAGAGACATGAAACAATAACTATCAATCAAAGTTTTGATGTAAAAGTTTATAGTGGTTTGTTTAAATGAAGGATAAGGTGAAACAACAATAATTTAAGTGAAGAATAGCTCACCTACGCTTTTTGCTCACCTACCTGCAGATCTTGCAAATTATAATAATGAATAGAAGAGGACATATATATATATATATATACGGATGATGGTTAGTGAAGCGACTAAATTTATCAATCGCCTTGTTTGGTTTGGTTTGGTTGATTTTAGGTGATAAATTTTCAAAAAAAAAAAATTTGAGAAAAGAGTTTAAAAAAAAATTTAGTTTGTTTGATTGTATATTTTGGAAATAGTTTTTGAGTATGCGAGTTTGGGATGATTTAATATTTTGTTGTAGTTAAGTAGATGTGTGTGTGCTTGAAATAATGATTGAGAAAGAAAGAGGAGTGAGAAAAATTACGGGTGTGTTTGGTAACGTTTACGTTTTCAGTTTATATTTATAAAAATTTTATAAACTGATTTTTGTTTATTTTTTGTTTATTTTTAGAAAAAACATAAACTACAAACTCGTTCGGTAATTGACAAAATGTTTAAAAAATTTTAAAAATATAAAAAAAAAAAAGTGAGAAATGACAAGTGGTGGTAAGTGGCGGCGAAAGACGATGGTGGAAAATGGTGACGGTGGGTGGCGGGTAGCTGGTGGTGGTGGTGGGTGGGTGACGGTGGCGGGTTGTAGCGAGTAGATAGTGGTGGTGGTGGTGGCTTGTTTTGCTTTTGATTTGACACACACACACACACACACAGAGTTTTATTGGTTAGTTGAATTTGACAAATTTATGGTTCATTTTTAGTTGATTTAAGAATTTAGGTACATGGAATTATACATGTTGTCAATCTATGTTACATGGACTCAGGTGTGCATAATACCGCCGAAACCGCCAAAACCGCACCGAACCGTACCGCCAAGGCAAATTTGTTATTATTTGCCAATCCAACCGCCGGTTTTTGATAAGAAAAATGGCAAATTCTAATGACACTTTTATCAATCCGCCGGTTTCTATTTTTCTTCCAAACCGCACCAACCCGCACCGCTATTAAATCATGTTTTATAAGATTCTAAAAATTCTTTTTTACTTAAGTTTGCTTGTTGTTCTATACCTTAGAATATAGTATTACATTACTGCTCGAGGGGAATTCAAGATGTCAATAATCCAAAATAAAGTTGGATTCCAATTCACTTTTCAAGATGCTTAACATCACGGTATCTCTCGTCATTTTTTTACTCTTTGATTTAAGTGTTGTAATTTGAATTATATTTTTTATAAACCGCCAATCCGCCCGAACCGCCAAGGCAAATCCGTCATTATTTGCCAACCGAACCGTCGATTTTTTATAAGAAAAATGGCAAATTCTAGTGACACTTTTATCAATCCGTCATCCGCCATACGGTTTCTATTTTTCTCTCAAACCGCACCGACCCACACCGCGCACACCCCTAGTGGCAGGTGGTGGCTAGTGTTGGGTGGTAAAAAAAAAATTTGAAAACTCAAAATGGAAACACATTTTTTGTGTTTTCATTTTTTGGCCAAATTTGTAAACTGAGACCACTGATTTACAAATCAAAAATTTTACCAAACAAGTTTTTATTTGAGTTTTTTAAATTTTTGTAAATATAAATAGAAAACTAAAAACGTAAGTGTTACCAAACAGCACTTAATTGATTGATGTGTAGGAGATAGAAAGTGATTTTGAAATTTTTTTTTCAAAATCACTAAACCAAAAAAAAAAAATTTAAAAATTTCTCCAAAATTTGTTTCTCAAAACCAAACCAAATTGTGTTTGTCTGATAATTAGTACATTAGTAATAGTTTTGGTTTATTTTGAGAGATAGGAATGAAATTAACCATGTAAAATTTCACAAATATTCTTGTTTTATTACTATCATATTTGGACTTATACTAAATAACAAATGCATTACATATTTTAATATTGAATATATATTTTATAAATATTAAAATTATATTTTAGTATTAAAAATTCTATTTCATAAATATATATTTTTTTGGTACTATTTTATTTTTCTAATATAATTTTTTTGATATAAATATTATTATACTATTATATTTTTATATTAAAAATTATTCTCATATTAAATTATTTTAATATAAAGAATGGTGGAGTAAAAAATAGTAGAATAATTAAAAAAAAAATAGTAAGGAAAAGACCATACTAATTAGTAGAGTAAGTAAATTAAGTAGGATAATAGAGGGCAAAATAGTAAATCTTTCTCTAATCCCAAGGGATTGTTTTTCTAATATCATCTCCCATGAGGAATTACTAACACATCTATGGAGACCTATCATAGTCCCAAAGTATTGTGAATCGTCTTCACCATTTTATAAACAAATACGGCAGTGATAGGTAGCTCGAAACCGAGCGGCTCGAAATGGCTCGAATTCAAAAATAGCCTCGTTTTTTAGATGAAGGTAAAGCAAAACCAGAAGCAGGGGAGAGAGGAGGAGGAGAAAGGAGGAAGGAGGAGGGACTGGAGGGGGAGGAGGAGGAGGGACTAGAGGGAGCCCAACATTTGGGGCTGGAAGCGGGGGCCGGGGGCGGAGGCAAGGCAGAGTTAGCGATCGCTGGTGCTGCAACGATCGGCGGCAGTGAGGCGACGGCGGTGGCGAGGTGAGCAACGACGATCCTCTCTCCCTCTTTCTCCTCTGTTCTTCCTCCTCTCTTCTTCCTCTCTTCTCTCCCTCTTTCTTCTCTGCTTCTTCCTCCTCTCTTCTCTCCCTCTTTCGAGCCAATTCGAGCCATTGGATTCGAGCTACGACTCATTTCCAAAACAAATATAATATTAATAGACCCCACATACATCATAATTCAATCTCATTTCCTATAACCCAAAACAAATGGACTTATAATATACCCAACATTTATCTAGAGCCAAACACGCCACCAAGTTAAAACTCACTTAGGATATCTAAACCCAATTCCAAACTTAAACATCACCTTTTAACTCAAAAAACAAAACAAAAAATTGCAGATTTTTATTTCATTTTGTCTTCATTATTCTCTCTCTAACTTTTCTCTACCTTTCTCTCTTTTTTCCTTACTTTCTTGTTGACCAAACACCCCACATTTACTCTACCCTTACACCACCACCTCAACTCACCATCTCCACCACCACCGGCCATCTTTCTTTGAAAATAGCGCAAAAGAAGTTCCAACTCTAAATTTTTCTTAACCTCTTGAGGATCAAAGCTTGGAGTTTCTTTTCTTGAGGGATTAGAGGTTTTAGAGCAGTTGGGTACGATGAAATGAGGTACAATGGAATGTCCATTATAGCTTTGCATTCACTTTCCCTTATGTGGTATTCTTTATCTAAGTGAGAATAGTCATTCCATTGGAATGTCTATTCCAACGAAATGTGGGAATGCCTATTCATTCTTCAAACTTAAGGAATAACTATTCAATTCCATCATGGAATTAATAAAAAATTATTATTATTATTATTTTTTTTTTTGTTAACACTTACAAAATATATTATTATTTAGCTGTTATCACCATTCCATTCTCCTATCGTTGTTACCGCCACTGCCACTGTGACTACTACCCTATTGCCACTACAACACCACCACCACCATCACCACGATCGCCACCTCAACCACCACACCACCATATTACCACCACTCACGTTACTACTACTGTCTCTACCACTACAACCACTACCTTACTACTACTACTATCACCTTCATAAATTATCACACCACTACCATCACCATTATAAGAACCACCACTCTACTAACGTTGGCTGTCGTCACTGCTACCACCATCGCAGTCATAATATCACCTTACCACCACCACTAAGGCCACAACAATCTACTACCACCATGCTACTATCATTGCTATCACCACCACTGATGCCGCCGCCGCCGCCACTACGACTCACACCATCACTTCCACAACTATCAACATTATCATAATCTATATAAATTTTTAATTTATTTGTTACTAGCGTGTTAAAAAATAAATAATAAAAACTTATTCCATTCCATGAGATAATAAGCAAAACCAAACATAATAATGAAAATTATCATCATATTCCTATATCATTTCATGTTTGCAACCAAACAATTGCCAACATGGAATGAAAATGGACATTCTATTCCATTCAACCTTATATTCCATTCTCACTCTCATTTCATTCTATCGTACCAAACATACTCTTAGTTTCTTAGGATGTTTTTGCATGTATAAAAATTATTAATTTGATGGATGTTGTAGTATTCATTGAAAGTATTTCCCTCACTTTAGATCTTATTTACTCATTGTTAAGATTGGAGGAAGGCGTCTCTACACCTCTTGGGAATTAACTTGTAGAGTTTCAAATCTATCATTTTTGCTATTTTGGAGGTAAATATATCTTACCATGGAAAACATTATCTCTATTTGAAATATAAAGTTTGAGAATGAATTATATTACATGGGTTATCATGATATTAGTATGTATTGAAAAATCTATAAATTTAATGAGGTCAAAAACCGAGTTTAAATCAAGGATTTCATTTGTATAATGAAGCATCAATTTTTCTATGAAAATTTATTTAAGTTGATTCTTTCAAATTTTATGATTACGATTACGATGATGATGATGATGGAATGGCAATAAAACGTTATACGAAAATATTTCTTCTTGTTGATCATATAACCAAATATAGTCTATGAGGTCGCAAGGGCCAAGATGTTTTGGAGTCCCGGAACTAAAATATTTTAAGAACCATAAAGGTCGTTGTACATAAAGGGTCATAGAGACTGAAATATTGAAATAAGAA